TAATGAACAATAACAATAGCATTGTTCTGAACAAAATGAACACATAATGTGCAGAATTCCCGACATAAATAACTGTATAATTTCATACATTTGGCTCCCTTGATAAATTTCGATAGAGAAAGAAGGACTAAATTTTACATCCTTATAGTGGTCTCTGCTAAAATCCGTCCTCTTGGTGTGGAGTTTTGCGTGAATTTATGTGCACCCTAAGCTAATTATGAAACGTATGCCCTCTTTTCTGTCAATATTGTGATTAGTATGAATTAGTATGGTTTATGATACTTTTGGCTGCAAATAGTAGTAAACTTCTTTGAGCTACGTTTCTTTTGTTTTTTCTACCACTTGAATAGATCATGTGCTCGTAGGAATACGGTCACAATTCACATTTTCACTATCAGATGAGACGTGAAACATCGACTTTGCGAATTAGCTTGGATGAATGCGGACATATTTGACACATTTGTTAAGATATAGAATGAAGTCGTATTTAAAGTTTTATAAATAGAATTCCGATAGTAAAGACTAATCTATGGCTGCTTTGTAGTGATGGTTATTCTTCTCTAATCCAAATCACTTGTTGTATTTCGGAAATATCCATCTATACCATAAATTAACTATAGGAGACTTTTGTCATTTGTCACAGTCATGTAGCGGGGTTACATCTAATTGGTCTTGTCTTTCCGATTCTTGTCTCCCGTTCCGAGTCTGTCTGTCTGTCTGGATTCAACATAGAACTTGGCACTGAAGTGCAGCAGTTCGAGTACTTGTAGTTTGAACAATGCTTCCTTGATAAGTGGAGTAAGTGACCTCTTTCAGACCTATTCCGTTTATAGTAATTGTGGCTGGTTGGTTATCAACAACTGTCTTTTCTACGTTCGTTTGAAGTCTCACAATGACCCAACAAGCTACACCGTCTGGAACTATTGTTCCTGCAGGTCCTACCATGCCAGAAAGGTTGTTAGGATAGCGGTTAGACTAAAAGTAGTTACCGGCATTGTGTAAGAATTTTTTTCTACTCTATGGTGGGCTTCTGTGGGTGAAGTCGTACTGCTGGGGAACAGGGAGGTAACAGCAGTGAAGTGTTTCCCTCAGATGACCAGCATGCCAGCGACCTATCCTGTCTCTCCACTCCGGAGAGAGGGGGTTAGAAAAGGTCGACCCTGACAATTGTACATTCCGACTTACACTATGGTGGTCCGTAACGGGCGGTAAGTTTTCTAATAGGGAACCAATCACAGAAACCAGTTCATACAGACCGTGTTTGACCGGCTGGCCTCAAGTAGTTGTCCCCTGGGCTCTGCGGTCACGCAACACTAACCCTCTTTCTGTTTCTTGTACCCGAAGAATTAACCAACTTCCACGGTGTGAGCAGCCGGGAAGTAACAACCGCCCACACGCCTCCAAATGCACACAAAGCCTCCCGAGCATCATCCTCGCTTGAAGTCGTATCTTTGCTGCTCCTTCTGCTAACTCACCCGTACTTTAAGTGCTGTAAATGAAACTTCGGTAGTATGTGCCAATTCCTAACTGCTTTCTTGTGAAGATTGTTCTTCAGTACAAACCAGTAGTTGTGTTTCAGATATACCTATCTTTACTCTAAATCAGCTATAGAACACATCTGTGGTACATCAGTCATGTAGCGAGCTTACATCTAATTTGTCTATACCTTATGTGAAGAATATTATGGCATCCTGCATAGTTGATATTTCGATGTAGTTGTGTTCTCTAAGCTGGGTAATTTATTTGCGGAGCTTTCATTGCCTTACTAGGCGACATCTTCAGCGCATACTTCAATTTCAATTGAAGTGAGCTTTTAGATTTCTCCACGAGTTTATTAATCATCTCTCCTGGTGACCTTCGACGTCATTGGTTGTTTTTGTGTTTTTCCACACCTTCTAAGCTACTTGTATTGGAACTGATTGTTTCCTTGACTTGAACTTTGACCCTTTGTGTGTGTGAGGTTTCCTTCTTATCGGTTGATAAATATTGTCTATCTCAATGTGTCTATTGATTGATGATCCAGTGGAATACCAGACAGGTTTCTAAAAATTCTCTAGCATTCTTGGTGTTTCTTCTGTCTAATATTTGAACTCTGGTTGTCCCAGTCGAATTGATGTCCGTGGTTGACAATCAGGGGTCACCAGGAGGGACGACTGATAAACTCGTAAAGAAATCTAATAGCTCACTTCAGATTGAAGTGTGCGCTGAAGGTGTTGCCAAGTAGGGCAATGAAAGCTTCGCAAATTAATATCCAGCTTAGAAAACAAAACCATATCAAAATCATCCATCTGAGCTACAAATCTTCTCCATCATATCTATTGTTTATATTGTAAATATTTTGATTGGACACTGGTCAGTCAGTGACTAGTATAGCGTGTCTAGTCCTTTGTTTGTTACAGGCTGAATTCTAACAGTCAAGTTTGCAATATGGCCAGCATTTTAGGTGGCTCGACGTCACGGTGCTCAGTTTGGTAACGTGTCTGACTGCAGGTGGTCTTAGGTGACGCGGATTTGAATCTCAGGGAGGAGGAACATGAGTTCCTACAAGGTTTCAAATACGCCTTGCTGACCTGTAAGTGCCCACTAGCACGAAATCTAGGTCAGTTGAGGCTTCCCGTGGTCGATTGCCTCCAACCATCTAATATGTTGTAGATGTTAATAGACGACGTGCTAATTTATTAAACTGAATTAGGTGTGATGGTTTTGAAGTTTTTTCTTCAATGTCTTATCAATTTCATACTCATTTTCGTCAATGCTTTGTATGCCTGTGCTAATAAACTTGTCAAAAGTTAAGTTCATTCATGTTCATTCACGAAAATTTTTATTTATTTCCTGTTTTTATTTCACTACTCAGCTTACTGATTGACTTTTCCGATTATATAACTGTAATGTGAATTGTCACTCAGAGTTGAAATTTTGATTTCTTAAGCTTTCAGCTGCTTTATGGATACCTTTTAGATTGTTTAGTAGCGATTCTGTACATTCTATAAATGGTATATGAACTCTTGGTAATGCTATTGAATCCGAGAAAAAAAATCTCATTTTTAGATGTCTTCGTCAAGCGAACAACCACAGAGGAATTAGAAACTCAAGTTTATAGAAAATCAACTCATACAGACCAAATAATGAATTATGAAAACAGCAACAATCCAATAACACACAAAAGGAGTTGTATACAAACACTATTCAAGGGAACCAGTCAGGACTCATTGCAGCACTCCCACCTTAAGGAAAATTGAAGATATCTCATGGACGTCTTCCAAAAGAATGGATATCCGCGGAATTCCAACACCACCTATCAAACCAAAGGCCTCCAAGGAAAACACAAAGAAAATCACTCTACCATATATAAAGGACATTTCAGAAATCACTGCAAGACTCTTCACACCTTTAGGAATTGACGTCGCACAAAAAACCAACAAACTTCATTCAGTTTTATGTCAACCAAAAGACTCAACAACGAAAGAAGATAAAGCCAACATCATCCAAAAAATAAATTGTAACAACTGAGAAAAAGGCTACATTGGCCAAAGTGGACGTCCCCTTCGTCTTCGTATCCATGATCATAAACTAGCCGACAAAAGACATGGTATCCACTCTCTCATATTGCCTCACTATATACAGACAACCACGGACATCAATTCGACTTGGACAACGTTCAAATATTAGACTTAGGAAACACCAAGAATGCTAGAGAATTTTTAGAAGCCTTATTGGTATTCCAGTGAATCATCAATCAATAGACACATCGAGATAGAGAAGATTTACCAACCGATAAGAAGGAGACCTCACACGCACAAAGGGTCAAATTTCAAATCAGGGAAACAATCAGTTCTAGTATAAGTAAGTAGCCTAGAGGACGTGAAAACGCACATAAACAACCAATCACGTTCAAGGTTACCACCAGGAGAGATGACTAATGGCGAACTCGTGGAGAAATCTAAAAAGCCCACTCTAGTTCCAATTGAAGTGTGCGCTGAAGATGTTGCCTAGTAGGGAGATAAAAGGTTCGCAAATTAATTATCCAACCAGCTCAGAGACCACAACCACATGAAAATCATCCACCTCAGCTACAAATCTCCATTACATATATATAGTTTGTTGTTTTACTTCATTTCTTGTGTGAGGGCTGAGATACTTCCCGGGCGCCCAGACCGAAGCAGGTGGTTTTATTAAGGGACCACCCTCCGCGAACCTTTGACTTGGAGTCTAATCTGCAAGGCAGTGGAGAAGCGTCAGGAGCTGCATTCCCATGGTTTCCGGTGACCCATATGGGTTCATATGCCATTTGATCCGATTGGATACTGGAGCCCATGTACCCCGTGGTAACTGCTTTTAGTTTAACCGCTATCCAAACAACCTTCCTGACATGGTAGGACCTGCAGGGACATGAGTCCCAGCCAGTTTAGCTTGTTGGTTCATTGGGGTATTCAAACCCCCGACCACCACGGCAAGTTAGCAGTTGTCAGCCGGGGAATCGTAATCATTGGCGAACGTGTTGCAATTTCTTTCTTTCTTCCGTTCCCGATGAAGTTCTTTATCCGTTCTCTACTTATATATATATATATATATATATATATATATATATATATATTCCTTTCTTTCTTTGTTTTCTTTTGATCTATGTTGTTTTATTATTATGATTGTGTGGCGCTTCCTTCTTGGTGCCATATTGTACCAAGTTTTTATGCGTTTAAATAAATAAATTACATATATATATTTATGTATATATTATTTAAGAAATTACTACACAATTTTATACATTACTGTAACATTTTGTAATTTAAAATATTTGATTTTATTGAGAATTAAGTTTATGGTGTTATCCTGTGTACCATTTTAGATTTGTTTATCCTAACGCTTTCTACAGTAAACCATCAAGTTCGATTTTCTCAGTAGACGTATTACTGGAGAGAAAAGGAAGAAGAGAAAAGCTGGATAATACCTGTTGTTATCATCATCGTTTTTGTTATTGTCTTGACAATTTTGATTGTTAAATAATGAGTGAAGACGATCAAATTGTGAGACAGAGAACAGTAAGTGCTCTCAGAATAAAAAGTTCAAACATTGATTTTTGTGATTTGATCTTTTGTTTATAATGCAGTGTGTACTATTCATCCTAAATAAATTTGAAAGTATTCACTCTTACCTGTTTATGATTGAAATGGGACTTTGAAAGACTAAAGCACTCACTCGAATCTCACTACATTTGTCAGCATTGTTTGCCTAGGTGGTATGATCACTTTAGGGAGTGTAGTCCATTGCTGAGAGTTTTGATAATAATAATGCACCGAGAAACATTTTGTATGTATTTTTTTCCTTCACGTTCCCCAGTGGAACACAGGTCTTCAAGCTAGTGGCTTGATGTTTCTGTAGCAGTGTTTATTTTACAGAATGGGGTTACTAGCCAGCCTCATGCCCAACCTTTCCTCTTTACCAGCATTATTTCTGGCTTAGCGAGGTAAAGGAGTGCGTTGGCGGCCGGGGATGGAACCCCGAACCATGTGCATGATCGGAGAGCGTTCCAATCGCTATGCCACCGACGCACCAAAGAGGAGGCGGTCTCCACGTGCGGACCGGGCGCTATCCCGCTACCGCACCACGCGGGAGACTTTTGCCGGTTCACCCCTCCTTAGTCGACCTGGACAACCCGTCTTCCGACAGGTCATCCATATCGACGCCGTGCTTAGCGTGGACGCCCGATCAACATGAGCAGCCATATGCCAGAACTCCCGGTTGCGCGAAATTCCACACCTTGGCCTTCAAGTAGTTAGATTACAGGCGTACGCCACCACGCCCAACCACTTCGCATGTATAAGGGCTTATAAAACTATCCTATTGTACTGGTTAAAGTGGATTTGTTTTTATTCCTTTACATTCGCAGTGGAATATAGGGCTTCAAACTAGAGGCTTGAAGTCTCACTAGCAGTGGTGTTTATTTCTACGGGATTGGGTTGCTAGCTTCATGCCCAGCCTTCCCTCTTTACAAGTCTTATTACAGGCTTAGCGAGGTAAATGAGTGAATCGGCCGGGGATTGAACCCGAACCACGTGTAGCGTGGTTGGCGGCGAGCATTCTACCGCTGTACCAGCGACTTGCCTAAAGTCGATAGAGCATGAAATTAGTATTCTTATGGCTATAGGCTACACTTCTATGTCAATGCTCGTTTTGTGGTTGATTGTCAGTGATTTAGGTCGTGATTTACCAAACGAAAGTCTGTCCGTTTTCGACATAGAACTTTGCACATATGTGCGCCAGTTCAATTCGCCACACTCCCTCCTTGTAGCACACAAAGCAACAGAAGAAAGTAGAAGAAATGCATAATAGAGACAGTAAACAGAGGTGTGAGACAAAGGAAAAGTAATAACGAAGATCAATATAGTTTCATTGGAAATCATAAGTCACAAGGAGTGGATGCATCTGCACCGGCCATTGAGAACGATTTTGAGCCATGTCATTAATTGTCTCCAGCCATTGGTTTCTACCGTCCCGAGGACCCCAACCAGAAAGTCTACACGATATTTAGAGTCAAACCTATTTCCTGCATACTTGAGATTATTTTACTAGGAATACACTTATTGCGATACAGGTTATAATATTTATGTATCCTACGGTTTCATGCCTTAGGCTTACAATATGTGGGTATACACCGTAAGAGATGATTACAAGTCAGATCACAAACTGACATCAGTCAAAGAAACAGCACCAGGAAGTACTGGACAGCTCTTTCGTCCTAATTTGAGACTCTCCAACAGCACCCATCTACTACCCCCATCAGGGATTGAACTGTGGGCCTTCAATTTGCGAAGCGAGTCCATTCACCATTCGGTCACTGGGAAAGAATCCTATGGATTATGAATTCTGTCGATTCGAGACATTTAGCGCTACCATCCACCAGTCTTGTCAGCGAGCTTCGCCTTTGAATCCAACCTAGTGGACCTCATTGGTCACGACATTTCACCAAAACACCCTGTAACTCCATCCTGTAGCCAGTCAGTAGTGGACTGTCCAGTAACCCTCTGGGCCTCTAACTGGTGGCAGTCAGTAATATGACTTCGAATCAGTCAAACTTTTGCAAAATAAAAGCAGATGATTTGTTATGAATTATTGCACAAATGAGTCGAGTTTAACGAATTAAAATAAATCCAAATAAGCGGATAAAAGTGTATTCGTTGTTTTCAGCACCAGTAGCATTCAAATGACTTTCGGATAAACCCAAACTAGGTAAAAACTGATATCATGTCATCATCAATCTGAGAAGGATGTCGGTGGCACCTGAGGAGTCCAGTGCCAGCGAACCGACAACGGTGACTGTCTCCTACAGTTCTCTTCTGATAATCATTTGTTTCTTGTAAGCACTTACCTTTAAATACAAGAAACAAATGATTATCAGAAGAGAACTGTAGGAGACAGTCACCGTTGTCGGTTCGCTGGCACTGGACTCCACAGGTGCCACCGACATCCTTCTCAGATTGATGATGACATGATATCAGTTTTTACCTAGTTTGGGTTTATCCGAAAGTCATTTGAATGTTACTGGTGCTGAAAACAACGAAAGACTGATATAAGTATAAAACTCGGCACTGTGGTAGAGCTCAACTCGTATAAACTCACTAGTAGAGGGAATAAAATTCACATTTGAATTGGAAAATGAACAAGGAGAATTAGCTAGCTATGTTAGATTGTAAGATAAAACGAATAGAAGAAGGCAAACTACACACTAATGTTTATAAACAAAACCAACGCATTCTAATATTGGATATTTAGACTTTAATTTGTCTCATCCGTTAACTGTTAAGGCAGGCTTAGTTAAGTGTCTAACAAGCCGAGCAGTGGCACTAAGTAGCACAAGAAAAGACCTAAATAATGAAATAAAACAGATGGAAGAGGCTGTTGGTGTTGAATAACTATCGTATAAAATTCATTAGGAAGATCGAAAAAGACCAAAAATAAAAATAACTGTGAAGCTAGTAATGATAACATAAATAAGAGAGAATATAAGTCATCCACTGTTATACCATATAGGGAGGGGACATCTAAGACCCTACGTAGGATTCTCAATAAAGCAGGAATTAGGGTGGCATTTAAAATTACAAACTCACTCAGGAAGGACAAGCTCTGTAGGTTAAAGGACCCAGTTGAACCAATTAGACAAAATAATATAATTTACAAAATACCCTGCAATGACTGCGAGGTCAACTACATAGGTCAAACTAGTAGGTCAGGGGGAATCAAATTGTCGGAACATAAGAATTTAGCTAAGGTAAGAATGGTTGACCCCATGAAGATAAGTAATTTAGAAAAAAGCTTAGCAATTGTACTCCATGCATTAACACAACCACACAATAGGGTGGGAGAGGGTTAAAATTCTAAGAAGTAATCTATGTAGGTGGACAGAGAGATTGATTACGGAATCCTTGTTCATCGAGTCTACACCCAACACATGCAACAGAAGTGACTCAATATAAATACCAGAAATATGGAAGGTATTATTACCGCCAGTCAGTCAAATCAGAGGAGGATAATAAATAATCTCAAAATTCTATTTCAATTCACGTACATCACAACATTCTAACAAGTTACTTATTTTGACTATGAAAACACTCGTCTTATTTCCCATCTGATTGTATTTGCCCAATAACACTGATAGTCCAGGGTAGGCGAAGATTAATTGAAGTTTATTGTTTCTTGTACGCATAGTTTAGGCTGTATGTGATTAATTCCATTATGGGTAAATTTTGTTTTGATAAAGTCTCATAGTGTTATACAGTAATGTTTACTGATGACGTTACGAGCACAATTTATTGCTCGTAATCATATCAAGGTAATCACACCAATATCCCTTATCGTAGCAGACATATTTATGGACAGCTGGGAAAATAGTGCGCTCAAAACATTTAATCCTACTCCAAAAGTAATATGGTGGAGATATGTGGGTGACACTTTCACAGTGTTGAAAACAGAACATATCTTTCTCTAGCTTCTTGACACATAAACTCACAAGTAGAGGGAATAAAACTCACATTTGAATCGGCAGATGAACAAGGAGAATTAGCTGTGATGTTAGATTGTAAAATAAAACGAATAGAAGGTAAACTACACACTAGTGCGTACAGAAAACCAACTCATTCTAATATTGGATATTCAGACTTTAATTCATCTCATCCGTTGTCTGTCTGTGAAGGCAGGCTTAGTTAAGTGTTTAACAAACCGAGAAGTGGCACTAAGTAGCACAAGAAAAGACCTAAATAATGAAATAAAACAGATGGAAGAATGGCTGGTTGGTGTTGAATAACTATCGTATAAAATTCATTAGGAAGATCGGAAAAGACCAAAATAAAAATAACTGTGAAACTAGTAATAATAACATAAGAAAGAATATAAGTCATCCACAGTTATACCATATAAAGAGGGGACATCTGAAACCCTACGTAGGATTCTAAATAAAGCAAGAATTAGGGTGGCATTTAAACCTACAAACTCACTCAGAGACAAACTCTGTAGGCTAAAAGACCCGGTGGATCCAATTAAACAAAATAATAATATTTACAAAATACCCTGCAATGACTGCGAGTGAGGTCAACTACATAGGTCAAACTAGTAGGTCAGGGGGAATCAAATTGTCGGAACATAAGAATTTAGCTTAGGTAAGAATGGTTGACCCCACCCGTGAAGATAAGTAATTTAGAAAAAAGCTCAACCAAAAGACTACTGTCTCGATTGTCATACATGATCAAGTATGGTTCAGCCTGCACTTTCATACAATAAGTGTGACTCATAGACTGTTGCATGAAATATCTAGTTCTGATCAACAACTAGTCAAGCTTTGGTCATGAAGAGAGTATACTCTTCATATTTTCACCCATCAACACATTCAGTACGGTAAGTATACCTGTCAACGTCCAACACTTGCTATATTTCTTGTGTGTGATTTGCCAACTCACACCATCTTTACCGTAGACATGATGTCTGGCTGGCTATCGATCAAGCGATATGTGTACTGCACACCACCAGTTTGCTCCGTCCTCTTCTATGGCTGAGATATGACCGTTGAAAATGGGAGATATGAGAAGGCTAATTGGGAAGTAGGTTAGTTGAAATATCTAGGAGTAATGATGAAGATGCGTCGGTGGTATAGCGGTTAGGACGCTCACCGACCATGCATATGGCCGGGGTTCGACCCCCGGCCGGCGCACTCCTTTACCTCACTGGGCCAGAAATAATGCTGGTAAAGAGGAAAGGTTGGGCATGAGGCTAGCAACCCCATCCCGTAAAAATTAAACACTGCTACAGAAACTTCAAGCCACTAGCTTAGAGCCCTATGTTCCACTGGGAACGTGAAGGAAAAATTATTATTATTTATCAGGAATCTATTGGAAGCGAAGCCATATCTAGTTCAAATTTTGTTCATGTTTTAATTAGTCTGCAAGACTTGTTCCCTTAGCGGAACTATATGTTCTAACAACATCTACTTCTTCATAATTTTACTATTGGAATCTCTAATGGGAATAATATAAATAGTAATTTCAGAGGGCAAACGAATTTCGTCTAGGTTACATATATTATTATTATTATTAGAACAAGGTCTTGGTACATTATTGCCACTCAAAATCTCATAGTTTGTGTGAGGGCGGGGATAGCACTCGAGCGATCAGACATAAGCATGTGGTTGTCTTAAGAGGCCACCCTCTTCCGAGCCTTTGACTCGAAGTCTTGTTCACAAGCAGCATCAGGAGCTGCTTGTCGGGGAGTCAAATACCATCTGATCTCTGGGACTCTAGAGCCCATTTGCGTCATGTAGGTTTGAAATTAGTGTTTCTTAGCTCCTCTCCCTAGGTAGGCGAGGATGTCTGCCAGTTTGGTTTTGAACACCAGACAGTCGTATTTACCTATTCACCTTTGTGAGAAACATCCCCCTTCCGCCATGTGATGGCAACTTACTGATGAATGCTAGCCAGTGTGAAACTCGGATAAGGCAGGGTTCTCTGTTGATCGACTTCTGATATCTGACACTTGAGAGTAGAATTTGCTCGTTTAAGTGTTCAGCTATCGTTATAAAAAGTGACTCCTAGCATTACTGACATGCGCGACGTTAGCCTGGCTGTCAAAAATCGGGTGTACAATGGTTCAGTGTGTGAAGTCTTGCTCTATGCCTGCAAAATCTGGTTTCTTCGAGCTAAGGATGTGTAGCAACTCTGCATATTCGATCATCTTCGTCTCCGTAGAATTGCTTGCGTTCGATGACATCATTGTGTGTGTGTGAGTAATTCTAAGGTTCTGCAGCGTGCATTTGGACACAGTGGAGATCACCTTTCATTGAGTGCCGTCATCTGGAAGTAGCAACTTCGTTGTCTTGAAAATGTTTTACGAAAGTCATCCCAGAGATTTACCCTAGGACTGGATGGAAGAAGCGGAGAGATGAGTGTTGTCTGTGTTACGTTAACATCCGTTAGTAAATCATGACCTCCGTGGTTGGAGGTCGATAGATAACTCGAATCGGTGGCTCGAAACGTTGTCGGATATGGCGAAGAATCTCAATCAATAGCGAACGTGCTGCAGTCTGCTTCTTTCTTCCCTTTCTAACAATAATTGGTCTTGTTACATATAACTGCTTTCTTCGCAAGTGAAGTCCTTTATTCATTCTCTACCCTTTTTTCGTATGTCATTATCATTGTGTGGCGCATCTTCTTGGTGCCATATTGTACCAGATTTTGTGTGTTAAATAAATAAACAAATAATTCAATACTAAAATGCGGTGTCTGTAAGTATGGTATGAATTTTGCGCCGTCTAAGTGCAAAGTACTGTTACAAGATTGGCAGGAGCCTGTACCTGCACTTACTCTTGCGGGTGAACCGCTTGAAGTTGTTGATAAGCTTGTGTATCTGGGTAGTTGTGTAAGTCCTGGTGGGGAAGGGTGACGGATGAGATTTTAAACTGTATAATGAAGGCTAGGGTGGCATACATCAACTTCAGCCACCACCTCTGGCGCCGTCGCGACATTAGCCTGTCTGCCAGAGGTCGGGTATGCAATGCTTCGGTGCGGGTGGGATGTCTTGCTCTACGCCTGTGAAACCTGGCCTTTCCGAGTGAGCTGAGGAGGTGCGGCGACTCTGCGTGTTCAATCATCGCTGTCTCCACAGGATTGCTTGCGTTCGATGGCATCATCGCGTGAGTAATTCTGAGGTTCGGTGGCGTGTGTTTGAGCACAGTGGAGATCACCATTCATTCATTGAGTGTCGTCATCTGCAGAAACACCGGCTTCAGTTGCTTGGACATGTGCTGCGAATGTCATCCCAGAGGCTTCCGTATAGGTCTCTGTTCGCTAGCCAGCCCTAGGTCGGAATGGAAAAGGCAGAGGGGTGGCCAGTCCATGACGCGTGGCATCGTGGGATGAAGGATTTTTATGCTACATTAGCATCGATTGGTGTGTCACGACTCCTTGGTTGGGGTCCGCGAGATAGCCCGAATCGATGTTATTTATTTAAACGCATAAAAACTTGGTACAATATGCCACCAAGAAGGATGCGCCACACAATAATAATAAAACAACATAGATCAAAAGAAAACAAAGAAAGAAAAGAATATATATATATATAAGTAGAGAACGGATAAAGAAGTTCATCTGGAAGGAAGACAGTCATGCTTAACAAGTTCAAACAGTATTCGTTAACTACCCTCGAGGAAGGAAGAAAGAAGGAAATTGCAACACGTGTAATAGCACGCGATAAGTGTCATTGGTTGTTTGTTGCTTTATTCAATTCATTGTGTGAGGGCTGAGATACTGCCCGGGCGCAAAGACCGAAGCAGGTGGTTTTTATTAAGGGACCACTCCCCGAGCCTTTGACTTGAAGTCTAATCCGCAAGGCAGCGGAGAAGCGTCAGGAGCTGCATTCCCATGGTTTCCGGTGACCCATATGGGTTCATATGCCATTTGATCCGGTTGGATACTGGAGCCCATGTACCCATGGTATGGTAACTGCTTTTAGTTTAACCTTTATCCAAACAACCTTCCTGACATGGTAGGACCTGCAGGGACATGAGTCCCAGTCAGTTTAGCATGTTTGGTCATTACGGTATTCGAATCGATGGCTTGAAACGGTATCGGATATGGCCAAGAATCATAATCATCAGTGGCGAACATGTTGCAATTTCCTTCTTTCTTCCCTTCCCGATGATAGTTAACGAATACTGTTTGAATGAACTTGTTAAGCATGACTGTCTTCCTTCCAGATGAACTTCTTTATCCGTTCTCTACTTATATTTTTTTTACTTTTAATCTATGTTGTTTAATTGTTATTGTGTGGTGTCAATAATCTTACCTATGATACATTTTAATTTCCTTTTCATTTCATCTCTATTAGGATAATATTCCAGACGAGCAAATTACCGCCGGACAAGATGAGTCGGCTGCATCTAAAAAACAGCCAACAACAACAAGCGACGAAGATGACGATGAAGTGATTGATCCGATTAAACCAGATTTTCATGCTGCTGAAAAGTTACATCAAGGCACTGGTCATGTACCACCAGTGATTAGCTTTCTGAGCAATTTTCTTTCACCACGTTGGGTCAATTGGACTGTACGCTTGTTTACAGGTATCCTGTTGATATCTTCATTTACACTGTTAATCTATTTGGGTCCATTGGCATTGGTACTTATGGTGAGTTGATCAAGTTTCATTTATTTATTTATTTTTTCATTTGTTATGTGATATTCATTCACACATCTGGTTGGAAGTTGCTGTTGGTTAGTAAGGTTAAAACTGTTGCTAATTAGTTGTTACTAAGATGGTTGGAGGCAATCAACAGGAAGCCAGCCCCGCCCAACCTAGGTTTCATGCTTGTTGGCTAACAGTTACCAGTCAGCAGGAACTCATGTTCCCTGTCAGGCCGAATAGCTCGGTGGTAACGTCTCTGACTGCAACACATGGGATGGTGAAACGGGTTGGAATCTCAGCCGGCGGGGGACATGATTTCCTTCAAACTGCAGATACACCTGGCGGACTGTAGAGTGCCAGCGAACAAACTGGAAACCTAGGTGAGGTTGGGGCTTCCTTCCGATTGCTTCTAGCCATCCACTAACAATAATTTAAAGTTTAGCGTGATGGCAAGTCACTTAGCATGTGGTGACTGATAGATTTCTGTCTGCACCAGCATTAAAGACTAGAAGCACTTAGAAATGGGAAGTGAAGTGGTTGGTGGAGCGTGTTGACCACTTCACTTATTTGGGTGGGATGTTGCATCAGTCAGTGGCGATGGGTTGATCGCTGACGAAATCTCAGAACGGATACAGAAGGCTGGTTTCGCATATACCAGTTTACGCCGTCTCTGGCTTAGTAGATGTGATAACCAGCTGGTTGGCTGTCAACCAAAGGGTGTGTGTACTGCTCATCAGTCCTCTTCGTCCTCCCTTATGGCTGTGAGTGAGGCATAGCCATTGAGAATGGAAGATATGAAAAGGCTGGCTAGCTGTGTTTGATCATAAGTGCCTGCGGTGTATCTCCCGTGTTAGGTGGTGGTGTGATAGCTTTAGCAATATTGAGGTTAGGCGTCGAGTGCTAGGTAAGAAGGGGAAATCAATCGACGAGGCTGTGAAGTTACACCGATTGAGATGGTTAGGTTATGTGTTACGGATGCCTATCCATCGCATTCCTTGAGTGATGAACAATGTTACCTGACTGACGTAGGGTCAGGTTGGAAAAGAGGAAGTTAGTGGTGGTCCAACCAAAACATGGCACCAGTCAATGAAATCTACAACAGTTGGTTTAAGCCACGTAGGAAGGTGTAGACTTCTGTCTGGTTGGGGTCCTCGGGACGGTAAACACTAATGAAAGCTGGAGACAATCGGTGATATGGCTCAAACTCATCGTTCTCGATGGCTGGTGCAGATGCATCCACTCCTTGTGACTTATAATACCCGACGAAACTATATTCTTCGTTATTACTATTCCTTTTGTCTTATATCTCTGTTTACTGTCTCTATTTTGCATTTCTTTTTACTTTCTTCTGTTGCTCTGTGTGCTACATGAAGGGAGTGTGGCGACTTGAACTGCTGCACATATGTGCAATGTTCTACGTTGAGACCAGTCGGTCAGTCATCTAGTTTTCAACCAAAGTTGTTAACTAGATTTCATCACAAACCAACCAACACATCAGTTAGACGTCATTGAAGTCTACCTTGGAAGCAATCTAAATGTTTACAAAACAAACCCTATGCATAACATAAATATCAACCTCCAGATCATTGTTGGTTGGATGTCTTAAAGCTGTTTAGTGAGAAGTTGTGACCAGTAGTGGGGGTGGTCTACTGTGTGTCAAGGTGAAATACATGCTCATCGAAGATACTGGTTGTCGTTTTACGCGTTACATCACAAATTGCCAAATTTATAATTCATTGGTCGTTGGGATCCCGCCTATCCCGTGGTCAACAAGATTGGTCTCACAACCTGTAGATCGCAGGTTCAATGATCCCTGTTGAGGTGACTGGCTGACTGACTGGTCTCAATATAAAAATTTGCATAGAGGTGCAGCAGTTCAAGTCGCCACACTGCATTTATCACACACACACACGCACGCACACATACAGAAAAGACAAAGAGAGCGATATTAAGCAGAAATGTGAGGGAGAAAGAATAGTAACACTTAAAAAACATCAGCTTTTAATGTTGGTTGTCGGAATCCTGACGACCCCAATCAGACAGTCTACACTTCCCTATGCGACTGTTTCAAATCAACTGTCAAGGACTTGACGGAGTAATACCAAGTTTTAGTTTGGCCACAGCTAACTGTTTCCCAACCCCCCCCCCCCCCCTACTTTTTTGTCAGCTAACCTTATTTAGACGAGGAAGGAGGTGGCTCGTGCAAAACATTTTGTCCCTAGCTACCTCAACTGATGTAGCTTCACAACTGCATCGTTTAGTCTTACCTCCCTAACCTCTAATGATACTACGCGACTACGCCTACGTACCTACCTACCCAACTACCTTACTGCGCAAACCTCAGTTTATGGGACACAGGATTCAAACCTATGGTTAAAAGTGGACAGTGTAGACTAGAATAAGCCACAGCTGGTTGAGCTGATTTGGCAACTACTTCGCTACTCTACCAAGGGGTACCGCCGACAATTATACATCTCATCAACAGTTGTACGACAACACTTGGAGAATGTCAACTTCGCCGATGATATATGTCTAATTTACCACAAACTGGAATATATGCAAGTGAAAAGCAACAAGTTGGCAGAAGAAGCACCAAAGATAGGACTCCAAGTAAACATAGAGAAAACAGAAGTGATGAAGATTGATGGGCAACAACAACAACAGACAACAATCAGCCAGCATAAATGGGAGGAACCTGAAAGAAACCACCTCCTTCATCTACCTACCTACCTTGGAAGCATCGTTTCAACTACAGGCGGACGGGACTGACGAGGATATCATTGGGGCGAGGATCGGGAGAGCAATGCAAGCTTTCATTACTCTCAAGTTTGTGTGGAGACCAACACTCAGCAATCAGCATGAAAAATAAGATCCGGATTTTCAACTCCAGTGTGAAGTCAGTCAGTACTACATACTATACGGATCAGAGATTTGGCGCGTCATGAAGAGAGCACCTCAAACAAACTGCAGACATTCATTAACAGCTGTCTTCGCTCAATACTACTCAAGATCAGATGGGCGGCCAGAAAATATCAGCAACAGGCAATTCTGGCAATGAACAAACCAACCCAGCAGGAACCACCAATTGTTCAACAATTGAACAGGAAGAAATGAAGGTGAATTGACCATAACTCTGAGGAAACAAACCATCAAGTGACATCACTAGACAAGCCATCACTCGAGTGGAACCCAGCCGAAAGGGAAGCGGTGGCGAGTTGGTCGTCAGTGCAAGGGTGAGAGTGACTTGAAGGAGGTGATGTGAAGAGGAGATGAGAAAGCGTGTGGGCAGACTTTGGAGCCAGGTGAAAACGTTGGCAGAGAACCGAAAGCAAAAGAGACGCGCGACTGAAACCCTATGTTCCTTTAGGAGTTAAAAGAAAATAATAATGATAATAATAAGTTGTATTTAATCAGTTAGCATAGTTTGAAGTAATGCATATTCACTTTTAGTATATTCTCATATTCTCTCTCGTGTTGTTGATGATGTTATTGTTACTGAGTATTGACTTAGTCCTTCTATACTTTTATGAACTCTTCCTTCTTGGGTACATACTTACGTAGATATTTATACAAAACGGAGTAATCTGTGGATAGATCTCTCTCTCTTTCTCTCTCTCCATCACTAATCCACGAAGATACAGTTTCATCATCAGCAATAATAATAATAATAATAATGCAGATGGGCTGTGACATAGATGTAATCGGAGAAGACTAATCCATGAATCTCTGTCATAATTAATGCATAGAGAAATAAACAAAGGAGTGTATCAGTTTACATATGTTATGTAATAGGATACACATCTACCCACCCATCCGTACACACACGTATATACACACACACACTCACATGCAAATCAGTGTCAGTTAATATATGACATCTATATATAGCTTTCTCTCTTTCGTTCTCTTTGTGTGTGTGTGTATGTGTGCGCGGGGAGGGCGTATGTACTAGAAATAAGGACCAGTGTTGTAGTCATTGAGTGACAGGTCTTGTGATATATAAAGTAAGTATTGTATAATAATAATAACAATAACAGCAAGGGGAAAGGATAAATTTTCATTCCTCGATCATTACTACTAATAAAACAACGAATAATACTGTAATGACAGAAGTTAATGGCCAGGCAACAGATCATTTATTGAGAAAATCAACAGATATTTATAGATTTTTATGGACATTATTGTCAGCCGAGAAGCAACGTTTTCTGGCCGGTTGTTTTCTTGCTGAAGGTTATTCTGTTATTGCTTTTGTGAATATTCCTCAGAAAACCAGTAGTTCAGCGAAGAGTCTCTTTTCGGCGGTGGTGAATTCATTTTCATAGCTGTACAAGCACAAATATATATATATCTGGTTGTTTTGTATGTGTGTGTACATTAAATTTGTCAAATGAAAATACAATTAGTAAGTTCAGATGAATTGGATGTTGATATAAGAGGGTAGTAACAAAAGTGATGAGTTGTCATAAATGATTGTTAAATAAAAGTTACGTAATAACAGCGTGAATAATTTGATGAAAGAGTTGTCCTCAGCGTGTACGTGGAAACAAAATAATATACGGAATTACGTAACAGTTTTAAGTAGCTAGAAAAATAAGCATACAAACAAAAGTGAGGTCAAATCAATGGAGTTGTTACCATGAGAGTAGAAATGGTTGAATAAGTTCACTTTTTGTATGTATAGTTTTGGTTCTTCCAACTGAATGGCTAAAGCTTCTGTAATGCAAAGAAGATGGAGACGTATTGTCTTTGGTAGGTTGTTCTTCACTTTGTAGATTACTTTGAAGGAGGAGACGTTTGTTGTTGAGATGGAATGACCAGTGTTGGTGACGAGATGTTCGATTATTGCACTCCTTATTCGACCACTACTTCCTTTTTGCACCCAAGCTGGATAGTGCTCTTTGACCCTTTTTGAGAGGATGCGCTTTGAACGACCGATGTACCTGGCTGGCTCCACAGCAACAGGTGAACTGAAAGTTAAGCCATATATCTGTGAATCGTGTTTG